TTCTCTCCATCCCTCCCTCTTTCTCTCCATCCCTCCCTCTTTCTCTCCATCCCTCCCTCTTTCTCTCCATCTCCTCCCTCTTTCTCTCCATCCCTCTCCTCTCTCTCTCCCTCCCTCTTGTCTTTTTTCTCTCTCTCTCTCTCTCTGTCTTTTTCTCTCTCTCGTCCTACCATCTCCTTCCGCCCGTGTGATGTGTCCCAGGGCGCATAAATAGGGGTGACGCGAGAGATGGGGGGGGGGGGTAGGACAGAGCGACGTGCGTTGGGAGTCAGGGCGAAGTGGGGGTGAAGGAGGGTCAGGGCAGGTCGAAGTGGGGGGGGTGAAGGGAGTCAGGGCAGGGTTAAGTGGGGGCGGGGCAGGGCGAAGTAGGGGGGGTTAAGGGGGCGGGGGTGGAGGGGGGTCTCATCACGTAATCGGCGGTGCACTTGATACCGACGTGACTGCAACATGCTCGGGATTACTCATCGTTTTTTTTTTGAACGAGGAAATAGGGGGGGGAGGAGGAGAGGGGAGAGGGAGGGGTACAGCTGATTTGTTGTGTGACGTCGTCTCTCTTGTTGCTGGCTCGGTGTTAACGTCTTCATCGTCGTAGTCATCTTCGGAGTTGGTCATTGTCATCAAACATCGTCATCATCGTCATCGTCATCATCATCATCATCATCATCATCATCATCATCATCATCATCATCATCATCATCATCATCATCATCATCATCATCATCATCATCATCATCATCATCATCATTCATCATCATAGTACTACTACTACTACTACTACCCCCCATTCGTCGTTAGCAGTCATCACCTCGGCCTACCTGCAGATCCCCCTCCCACCACCGCCACAAATTACAACTACAAAACACCTCCACCACAACCACGACAACAACCACAACCACTATTACTAGTTGTGTGAGCGATGGGGGGCGGAGGGGGAGGGGAGGGGGACGAGGAATGCGAGTGCACGCGCTTGTGTTTGCGTATCATTAAGGGGGGGGGTAGTGGGGGGGACAAGGGTCAGGGGCTTTGCTTTTTTCATGAATACGTTTTAAAAAAAAGATGTCTGACCTTGGGTGCACGACAGATACACTCCTCGTGATTATGTTATTTCTCATGTGGATTTTCTTGACGAATTGATTTTCAAGGTTTTGTTAATCCATTTATTTATCGTCAAGCTTTATTGGAATCATTTACTTTTTTCATTTGATACGATCCTTTTTTTTTTTAGTCCCAAGATTGGATCGCGCCATTGAGATTCAGCGCTATACGTCCTAAGAGTCTGCGTTTAAAGGGCAAGTTCGGGAGACTAGGAAAGCCACGGGGAGTACTACGTCGGCGGTGATTCCCCAGCTGCCTGGGGGGGGGAGGGTACGTGGGCACGCGAGTCGCCAGAATTCGGGGTACTTTGGGGGCGTTTCGTGAACGATCGTCGGCCGGTAGGGTCGCTCGGACGATTTTCAACCTTATGGGAGTCGGTCCGAGGTGAAGGGGGCTTGGGAGGTGGAAAGATAGGGAGATGTAGGGAGAAATATAAGGATGTAAAGGAAAGGGAGGAGCAAGATAATGAAATGAAAGAATGGGGGACTTACGAAAGGGGGGAGAAAGATAATGAGATGAAAGAAGGGAAGATATAAGAAAGGAAGGAGAAAGATAATGGGAATAAAGAAGGGGAGATATAAGAAACGGACATGAAAGAAAGGGAGGAGAAAGATAATGAGAATAAAGAAGGGAAGATATAAGAAAGGGAGGAGAAAGATAATGAGATGAAAGAAGGGGAGATGCGACGAAGAGCGATAGAAGAAAGGGCTAAATGCGGCGCCACGTTCATACAGGTTTCCCGCTCACGATTTTCGGAGTTCTTGGAGCTCGTGGCCGCGATGCCCAGGCTATGCGGCGCTGTTGGGGCGGGGCCGTTGAGGCTGTTCTCGCTCGCCCTCCTCCGGGAAACGCACGCGCGCGCTCGCCCCTTGGACGCACGGGGCCAGCTAGCTGTTTGGTTGTTTGTTTGTTTGTATGTGTGTGTGTGTGTGTGATCTGTTTGGCTGTCAGGCTTTCATTGGCGTTGCGATTACTTCTTAGCCTTCTTCTTTCCCTCTCCCCTCTCCCTCTCCTCCCTCTCCCTCCCTCTCCCTCTCCCTCTCCCTCTCCCCTCTCCCTCTCCCTCTCCCTCTCGAAGGCAACACTGGGCGCACATCAGCCCCAGCACGTAGTCCCAAAAATGAAGTTCTGATCCGCGAGAACATTGTTGTGGGAACAGAGCGAGGCCGCGGACGCTCTCGCTGTGGAATGTGTACACCCGCATCAGCGCGGACGCACGCACACGCACGCATACACTCACGCACACACTCACGCACATGTACGCACGCACACTCACACGCACGCACGCACGTACTCACTCACTCATACGCACACACACGCACGCACACGCACGCACGCACACCTGCTCTGTCACGCAAGCGCAGCAAGCGGACACACTCTAGCGACGTGGAGGCCCGAGGGATTACACCGAGGCGCAGGCACGAGGGTTGTAAATAAACAGGTTTTTATACGTGTTCGTGGCTTCTAAATGAGACGTATGCGAGAAAAGTAAGTTTCACGCAGTTGGTTGTACGCGCGCAGACATTCGCTCTCAGGACAAGTGCACTCCCGCTGGATAATTACGCCAGAGGGAGCTCTTCCGGAAATGGAACGTCTGTCTAGGCTGTACGTTCCCCTCCCCCCTCCCCTGCCCTCCCTCCCTCTCCTTACTCGCTCGCTCACTCACTCACTCACTCACTCACTCACTCACTCACGCACTCACTCACTCACGCACTCACTCACGCACTCACTCACTCTCACTCTCACTCTCTCACTCTCTCACTCTCACTCTCTCACTCTCTCTTCTCTCTCTCACTCTCTCTCTCTCTCTCTCTCTCTCTCTCTCTCTCTCTCTCTCTCTCTCTCTCTCTCTCTCTCTCTCTCTCTCTCTCTCTCTCTCTTTTCTCTCTCTCTCAATGCTTGACAACTTTCCAAACTAGAATTTCTCCTTGACTATTTCACCTGAAACTAGAATTTCTCCGGGGACATCTCCCCCGAAAGGGTTGTGAGATACCTCTTAGCACGCAGCGTCCAGGGTCAGTTACAAGGGAAGGGACTCCGGCTGACATGACACCCAAACGTGCGTGCAGGAGACGGAAAACGAACGCGTGTTATTGGAGGCTGCAAAGAGCGCATTGCATCCCTCCCCTCCTCCTCCCCTCTCCCTTTCCGCTGCCCTTTCGTATTCACTTGCTTTTGTCTCCGTAATCTCATCGCATGGAGATCGGTTGTACTTAGCTACAATAACACTTTACATCATAACACTCAGTGCACTGGCGATAGGTTGCATGTTCTCCCCGTCGCTTTGCAGGCAGAGTTCCTGTAGTCGCTGTGTGCATTCGCGACCCCTCTCGTGTTTCACCGCTACCTTTTAATGTTATTGTCACTGATTACAAGATAGCTGTGACTCAAGCCAAGTGAACGCGCTTATTAGAGGAAGTCGCATGAACTTTTCATCGGGTTTTGGGTCGTCTTCAAGATATAATCCTTTCAAGTGATTCCCTACCAAGACTATTATGAGTCAGAAGTTGTTTTCGTGATTACAATCCGTGTCACTAGTCAGCGTAGACGAACATCCGCTGACGGCATTGTTTTAGTCATGATGTCACCGTGCAGCGTTGCTTCTATTGGCTGACAGGATTAGTGACGTCAGTGAAACCTTACTGCTATTGGCTTGCCGTTCCAGTGATGATGTCATGGATTTTGTGACGCACCTGAAAATTCTTGCTATTGGCTAGAGAAAGTGGTGTCGTCACCGATGACATCACGAAAGAGTTTGACATTGCGGGTAGTTGCTGCTGCTGCTTCTTCTCGGAAAAGTGTTACTCAGGTTGAATGGAGACCGAGGTGCCAACCAAAGTATAATGTTGACGTTAGCGATTTAAATTAGACAGCCAATCCGCGGAAGAAGTGCTCAAAGGAAGCCATTCACACTAATAGGTAAATTGCATGACTGTGAAGCAGCGGCGGCGGGGGTACGGGCCGAGGAGGAGCAAGGTAGAGCGTGCGGCGTGCGTGTGTATGTGTGTGTGGGTGACAAGGATAGTTGCGGTGGTGGGGGCGCTGGGTGACCACTTCCACCAGTCGCCTTCGTGGTGGTTGCCCGCTTCCCTAGTCTCCATTCTCGCCCCTCGCACGCCCTCCGTCGCTGCTCGTCGCCAGTCGCTCCTGTCAGCAAAGGGGTGGAGTTGGGCACGTTTTGTGGAGTGCGACCAGGGAACTCGCGTTTCGTCTTGCCTTCCCCAGTTGTGGATTTAGAACACTTGTTACACAGTGATTGAGATAAAGTTGTGAATTTCCCTTTTGTGGGGGTGGACAGTTTTCGCGTTGGTGTGTCCTGTGGATTTGTTTTATAAAGCTTTATTGAGGAAGAACAACTTAGAACTGTCAACATGAGTAAGTAGTTACTTTTCTGCTCCAGAAGCTCTTGCCATTTTACCAAGGACTGTCATGTTGGTATTAATTTTGTGCATTTACACTTACTTGCAGTATGTGTATTTTATTGTATGTTGAGCTTTAAAGGAATTGCATTATGCTATGCGATTATGTGATATTGCCCTTCCAATAAGAATTTAACATAATTTGACAGGTTTTGTTTAGTGATTATACTTATAAAAAAGTATAACTTATACTAAGTGATAATGATGTGTTACCAGTTCAGTTATGATAATTGTATTAGCCAATGTTTATATTTCTTGTCAAGCAAAATAAAAGGCTTTCATTTGAACACCTTGAGAGCATGATACCAATCCACCTTGAATATGCCAGTTCTGGATGACAAAGTTGTCTCATGTGGGTTGTGTTCACCTCTTTTTTTGGGTGTCTTTCTCTTTTACAGTTTTGTGTCCAGTTCTGTGGAATTTTATATTTGTTTGTTGTAGATAATTCTTGGAAACAATCATTAAATGTGCCTTCTCCTTTTGCAGAGTGTGTAATGTTGCGTGATGTTGGCGCTAGAGCCTAGGTGCCTCAGTGGCGGCAGGCTTGGTGTTGGAGAAGGGGAGGAGTACAGCCAGCACGATGGAGGCCCTCACCACCATCACCAGTCCTCCCACCCAGGGCAGGAGACCCTCTCCACCAACCTCCATACAGCTGCCCTCAGCAGTGTCTGGGGTGGTGCCTTCTGAAGAATTTGCTACAGTGCACGGAAGCTCTGGCTTGTCAGCCACGAGAAGACATCCTCCCCCTCATGCTCCCAGAAAACATAGAGCTACACACCAGCGTAACTTGTCACTGGATTTCAGGTACCTTTCTGCCCCTTTTTGACTTGCCTTGCAGGACTGATGTGTTGTATATCAAGTTTATTAGATTATGTTAGACCAATATATTATTATTGAAATACTGATTTGCCTGTCTTAAAGAAAAGAAAGCCTGCTGCAAACTGTTTAAACAACAATCTTTTTTACTACTTCAATTGCTGCAAAATATAATATATCATTAATTGCAATAAATTAATTCTTCCAGGTCTATGGGTATTGTGCTGCCACCCCTTCCACCATCTACCTACAGTGGCTCCCACCAGCGGAATCGCAGTTTAGACTCAGTGTTGCAGCGCATCCCAGAGGTTGAAGGAGGAGAGACCCCACAACACCCTCCCCCCTCCAATCCACCACTCAAGCCTAGTCTTTCCTTCACCTTCTCTGATGCTCCAAGCTTCAAGCTGCGGACAGACCCTTGCCGCACCCGAGCTTTGGTGGCCTCTGCAGTGTGCCAGCCTGTGGTGGTGAAGAGAGGGAAGGACCCCTATGATCAGACTAGCCTGGGGTCAGATGATTCTGGCATCTGCAGCTCTGAGGGAGAAACCAGAGAGCCCAGCACTGAGAGAGCGCACAGTGCTGACTGTCTAGATGCCACATTTTTTAACTCAGACTGTGAAGTGAAAAGTATATACTCAGAAACGCTAGATGGTGAGATGAACATGGATGACCCAGAGGGTGATACAGTGAGTGATGGGGGAGACTTGGGGGACCAGACACTTGTAGAGGACACAGGGGACATTTCTCCAAGTGACATTACTGTGATCGAGAACATGGATTCTCCACAAGAAACCGACCAAGGAGACGAGCCACTGGAATCCCCAGTGGAGAGCCTCGTCGAGGAAACACAAGCTACTAGTGAATTGCATACTTGTTCTGCTGATAATAATGATTCCAACAAAGAAAATGAATCCAAAAAAGAGTGCAGAAGTGATGTGAACAGAAAAGGAAGAGAACCAAGTGATGAAGGATTAAGCTGTAGCAGCAGTAGTGGTGCCAGTGCATTAGTAAAGACGAAATTGGATGAAAAACAATCATTACTTTTAAGATTATTTGAGAGTAAACTCTTTGACATGTCCATGGCAGTGTCTTATCTGTACAAATGCAAGGAACCCGGGGTGCAGCAGTACATAGGAAACCGTCTTTTTAGTATGCCAGCGAGCGAGTCCTACTTCTTCCTGCCCCAGTTGGTAAATATGTATGTGCAGACCTACGAAATCGCTGAGGTGCTCCATCCGTTCCTGGTGCATCTGTGCCGCCATGATACCACTTTTGCCCTCCAGTGTGCCTGGCTCTTGGAGGCCTTCTCCACTGACACTGCCCACCAGAGGAAGAAGTCTCACGGCACCAAGTTTAAAAATCTCATTCTCTCTGATGAGCTAAGGTGAGTTTAGCCAGCTGCTCAGTGAATTTAGTTTTAGAAGAACATTTTTATTATGTTTTTGTAACAATGATTTAGTTTCCTATTGCCATTCTTTTAGGCTGCTTGTATTTTAAAGAAAACTTTCAAAGCTGTTTTCATTACAAGAGATTTCCTAAAATGTATACTGGCAAGAAGCCTTAGAATTGCATATCATTATTTTTAATTCACCAACAGGCCAAAACAGGAAGGGTTTGTTGACCTAGGCATTGAACCGAAGGGCAGCCAGCACCGGCCAACTCTCTGCACTAGGATCAAGGAGCACCCAAGCCCAGGCTCGAACCCAGGGTCTCCTGTGACTGAATTGCCGCCTCCCTTCACCACCAGAACTACTCTGCCAACCCCCTCAAGAAAGTCGCACCAGCGGTCGCGCTCAGATGCCACTGTGGCTCTCCAAACTCATGCCAGTGCTGCTCGGGGACATAAGCGTACTCCATCATCAGGTATTGTTTTGGGGGTTAAGTTTGTAGTTATATGTTGTTTAATGTTGATGGCTAAGGTAGATGACATATATAGTGGGAGATGTTTATATATATATATATATATATATATATATATATATTATATATATATATATATATATATTATATATATATATATATATATATGTATATATATATATATATGTATATATATATATATATGTATATATATGTATATATATTATATATATGTATATATATGTATATATGTATATATGTATATATGTATGTGTATGTACGTGTACGTGTACGTGTACTGTACGTGTATGTGTATATGTATATGTATATGTATATGGATAAGTATATGTATTGTGTATATATATATATGCATATGTATATAAGAAATGTTTACAGCTTTAGTGTTGTATATACTATTTTAGAAACTAATGTTGTATCTTTTCATTGCACAGGGAGCATAAAAAATTGCCTTGGAGACCTTACCTCTGGACGAGCCTTTGATAACGGCTGCACCTGCTTTGACTCAGAAGAAGCACGGTGCAATTCTTTACGAGGGAAAACCATCGAGTGCAGTTGTGGGGTAGGTTTTGGGAAATGATTGTCTGTACTGTACTTGACCAGAAACTATGTAATAGGTACTTTATTTTCTTAGTTGTGAATGCTTGTTTGCTGTTCTTTCCAGATCTAATCATATTGTGGGACAAGACAAATAGTAGTAGGATGAAATTAGTAAAAGGGTCATGAAGGTTGAGTTAAAGCAAAGTCATTATGCATATTGTCATAGTGAATGTAGATATTAACAATAATAATGCATTTACTTATGTTGATTTTATCTTTTCTTCCAGGCACCAAGACTGTCTCCTGAGCTTGAATTTGTACGGGCCATGATCAGCATTGGGAAGCGTCTAGGAGCGCAACCCACCAAAGAAGCCAAGACGTCTCGTTTGCTAGCGGAGTTATCTGTACTGAACTTAAACTTGCCAGCACGTGTGTACCTGCCACTCTGTGCCAGAGAAATGCCACACCATATTGTGCGCATCCCACCACAAGCGGCTGTTGTCCTAAACTCCAAAGACAAGGTATCAGCTCTGGGCTTTTAGCAGATGTGCATGCTTTGGATTGTTATGTATTTTGTAGATGTATATATATAAATATGTAGTTGATATTACTGTGATGTGTTATGGAAAATGGTGCTATGTACTCTCTCAGTGTTCTTGATAATTTGGTAGGTTTTATTGATTTTGCCACTAATGACTTATGATATCAATTAACGGTGTTGGATGAATTGGATAAAACAGAAGAATGAATAAAAGTTTATGTTTGTCTTATTGTATCCTATTGTTGTCTTAACTTAATTCACACCCTATGATTCTCATACACATTGAAAATCTTCTGTATTGACTTTTCACTGATGCTGAAAAGTCCACAGTGAAAAGGTCGGAGGCTTGAATTGTTGGCCAAGATCCTGTGAAAGAAATTGGTATATGCAGTTTGATCTGAATAGAGGAAATGCAGTGAAAGAAAATGAGAAAGAATATTGTTATGGATGAACTCAGTTGGGCCTTGCAATATTTATGGTTTTGAATATTCCTCTGGGAATATGAAAGAAGAAGCATGGTAACAGACATAGACCAAGAACCGTTAGGTTAGAAGAAATTAGGTCATCAAACTATCACCAGATTAGAGAAGCAGATCACGACTAGAAAACAAGAATGGTGGTGCAAATTGGAAATTTATTGCTGCATTTGCTTTCTTATAGTTTATGGTTTCATAGGGTAAAATAATGAGGAAATTATGCAAAACCTTGCAATATATAAATAAATGACTGTAGAAATAAAGTCTAGAAAGTAAAATGAAAATTTTAAATGCTTATCCTTGATAGGGAAGCATTAGACAGAATATTTGCACGAGAGACAGCTGAGAGAGATTACCCGATTCTAAATGGTATCATTATATACTCACATTTTAAAAAGATTTGCCTGCTTTATGTTTAAAGCAGGAAATGAAATGATATCTGTTCGTCAAAAAGTCGTGGCCGAGCATTTGTAATCTCATTTCATTTTTTTGTTTCTTTTTACTTACTAGGCACCTTACATCATCTATGTTGAGGTTCTGGAAGTCGACAATCTAGATACTGCATCAGTGCAAGCCAAGCTCACCCATAGTCTACGTCACACGCGATCTGAGGAGAACCTGGTAGATTCCCCCGCGTCCACATCCTCATCACAGTTGGACCTCACAACGACGCCAACAACAACAGCTACCGTCACCACCAGTGGCCTAGGTTCTACTTCATCCATACCTTCTTCATTAAGCTCTCCGCACCTGAACTCAGGTATGCTTGATTTGATTGGCTTCATTCTTTGGTATTGTAATGATTAAATTTTACGTAAAGCCATATAATGAAGTACAGTTTGTTATAGACATCACATAAATACTCTTTTTCTCCTGTAGGCTACGTTGATGAATCAGACTGTTGGAGTCATGAAGATGATGAAATCAGCCAGCAGTACTGCAGACTCAAGAAGCCCAGGGATCGCGACACCATCTCAATGATGTCCCTTGACTCATGTGACTCCAGGGAGCTGACTGCAAGGGGAGCAGCAGACATCCGCAGAAGACTCTCAGAGACGGTCAATGCCCCCAAGACAGGGTTCAAGAGGGACCCAGAGGATCCTTCTGCAGCAGCCTTAAAGGAACCCTGGGAGGATAAGGTACTTGTAGTGTGTGGACTTTTTGAGATGGTTAAAACCTTTAGTGGGACTTTTTGAAACATGAGGTTCTTTTGAAAATGTAGATGGGACTTTTAATGATACAAAATACTTTTAATGATGCAAAATTGTTAGATGGTTTTGATTTTGCTATGATGAAAAATAGTTAGTTGGAAGTGATCTCCATTAAACCCCTTTTAATCCCACATCACCATGTGTTCACTGTAGTTTTGTTTTGTGAAATGTCTCTGCACATTGATGGCTCTGTAAGTGCATAGCCACAAAGGAATCGGTAGATCTCATAACCTCACCTGATTTCACTATTCCTTGAGTTTGTGGGAAAAACGTTTTTGTTATCAGTATTGATGTTATTATTATTACTATAGACAGTATAATTATAACGTTTCTGAGATTACTAACAAATATATGGGATGCCAGACAATATTTCTGAAAATTAAGGAAAAGGATAAACATGTGAGATAGATAGAACTCATAATTGGCTCTTTGGTGACTTTGTATTTGTAAAGCCATCTTTGTGTAAAGACAATTTTTAATAAACAAAACTCACACAGTGGGTATGGCATGCACATACATGCTATCCCTGGTGGCATTGGGTTAATTGTCAGTGTTCCATCTGGTGCTCATGTTTTCATTTCTTTCCATAGGTTGAACGTATCCGCGAGAGCTCACCGTATGGCCATCTAGCTTCATGGCGGCTTTTGGCTGTCATTGTCAAGTGTGGAGATGACTTGCGACAAGAGCTGTTAGCTTACCAGCTGCTTTGCATGTTCCAGAAGATTTGGGCTGATGAAAAACTTTCCCTTTGGCTCAGACCTTACAAGTGAGTGAATTTAATATTAAAATGAGTTTGTCACTCTTCTACATCTTTTGGTAACTGTCTATCAATCTACCAGAAAACATGTGAGAAATGTATTTTTGTGAACTGAAAACACACTTGTCATCTTTACATGAAATCTTTTCACATTGTAAGTTTATCCTTTCCCTCGCCTCCATAGGATTCTGGTGTTGTCCGATGACTCAGGTATGATCGAACCCATTGTGAACACCTGCTCCCTGCATCAGATCAAGAAGAACAGCAAGATGTCTATGCTTGAATACTTCATTCAGGAGTTTGGAGATAAGAATTCAGAGGAATTTTTGACTGCACAGAGAAAATTTGTTGAATCATGCGCTGCCTATTGCCTCATCTGTTATATTATCCAGGTCAAGGATAGGTAAGTGAATTGATATTTAACAGAACATCTTCCTCGACATCTGTTAAATCTGAACTGTTACATTTCCATTTGGATGTTTGACATTCATAAAACACATTTCTTTTTTATGATGTCTTTAAAGGGGTTGTTTTATAAGCCTCAGTGGTCTGTGAATGTTCTCACATGATCATCTCATGCAAAATTAAAAAAGAAAACAGTAGTTTTACAATGAGCTTATTGAATTCCTTGTGCAGTATATTTCCATGTTTGCTCATTCTCTGCTTTCACAAGTTTCTAACATATTCAATGCCCTTTCAACAGACATAACGGAAACATCCTCCTCGACAACGAAGGCCACATCATCCACATCGATTTTGGCTTCATGCTGTCCTCATCGCCACGTAACCTGGGCTTTGAGTCGTCGCCCTTCAAGCTGACGCAAGAGCTGGTAGAGGTCATGGGCGGTGAGAACTCAGACATGTTTGCCTACTTCAAGATCCTACTGCTGAAGGGCCTCCTAGCAGCTAGGAAACACAGCGAGAAAATCATCTCTCTAGTGGAGATCATGAGCTCAGGTACGACTTTCGGGTTTAATGGAGTGTAGTTGGGTCGTGTAATGGAATTAGAGACAAATATCTAGTTTCATGTGATGGGTATCTATTTGATGGGGTGCAGTATAGTGTATGATGTGTCATCTGATAGGATAGACAAGTGTAAAATGTAGATGGAAATTGGGAAGGGTAGGTAGATGGAAGTTTTATATTTTTTTCTCTTTCCTTTTTTCAACCTGTAATGTTGAGATGTATGTGAAGTATGGGAGATGTGTATGTCATTTATTGTTTGATTGGTGACAGGAAGATTTGTTTTATCCTGAATGTCCAACATATGTATACCAATTGCTTGTCTCACTCTCTCTCACTTTATTTTCATAGTTTTTTGCTTCATTGCCCCTCTTTTTACTTTTTTCTGTATTTTCTCCTTTTTCTCAACACCTTCCTTTATCTCTTTTTTCCCTTTAAGAATTGGTTTCACTGTCTTTCTCCCTTGGTATTTATTTCTGATTTTTTTTGGATTTGAACATTTAGAATAATTTTATTGAGCATTATTGTTTTTTTTCTATTTCTCTGGCAAAATAGGGAAAGCCTGATGTAGTTGACAAATTAAAATTAGTTTTAGCAAATAAGTGACTATAGTAATCTATAACTACTTAACTCCTAATTAGTTATAGTTTAGTTTACAGATACACTTCTTCAAAGATCAGAGAATAAATGCAATTCAGTGATAGGCTTGTACAAAGTATATGCACCTTTATTTATCTGTCTCTTATTTTCTGATTACAGGCTCCAAGTTAGCATGCTTCCGTGCTGGGGCGTCAGTTCTGCCGGCCCTGAAGAACCGCTTCCATGTCAATATGACTGAAGAGCAGATCCAGGCCCACCTCGACTCCCTTGTCTACAACGCCATCAACTCCATCACCACACGGCTCTATGATGGATTTCAGTACTTCACCAATGGCATACTCTAGCTTAGGGCTCGGGCTCTGTCCTTGCGCTTTGTGTCGTTCAGGTCTGTTCTAGCCTGGGCTAACCTGGTCTGGTCAAATAACCTTCGAACCTTTGTCTTGAAAAAGTGCGTGATGTGAACTCTTGGAACAAACTAACGCAAGAAAGACGAGGAGAGATGAACTCGCTCGTGGGTTATGAATGGGTGATCAGAGTGAAATGTGTCTTTTTTTTCCTTTTTTTTTTGTCTTTCCTATCTCTCTTATGATAAAACTGTGTGGTGCTGGAAGCAGAACTCTGCTCAGAATATATATATATATTTATCACAGCATTTTTTTTTTTAATCTTTATTTTCTCTTCTTTTTATATATATATATATATACTTTATCGTAAGGCCAAGAAACATAATACTTTGGCGAAATGGAGATTACTTAGGGTAGTGAAGTGTAAACCGAATGTGAATGTGTAAGAAACAAGCACGATTTACCAAAGACAGGATCAAGAACTGAATACTATGTTAACAGCAAAAGTGTTTAGTGTTCCACAGTTGGAAGTTTCACAAGTTTATATCTCAACAACTTTCAAAAAATTAAGAAAATTCAGTTGTGTTCAAACACTGATTCCATTTACATGTATATTTTCCTGCCTCCCTCATCCAAACATGGAAGCTATGCCACTCTGTTAAGAAGTTTGTATTATGTCATTATATCATACTCTCAATTATGATTTTTGATTATTTGCAGCTCAAATTTACAATTCATGGCTTGCACTTTTCATGATTTCCCTTCCCCCCAAGAACAAATTCAGTGATGATGATGATGATGATTATTGTTATTGTTATTATTATTATTATTACTATTTTTATTATTTTTGTTATTATTACTATTATTATTATTATTATTATTATTATTTTTGTATCTTCAGTTTTGTGCTTTGCATTTTATCCTTTTCCATACTGCATTCCTGATCTGCCTGGAGCATAAGATTCAGTATTATTGTGTCCCTTTCTAGCTGTCCAGCATTCAGTGTATTTTTATATGACGCAGAAGAACTTTTCTGCTATTTACACAAATAAAAATCCCGATCAAGGTTCTTCGGAAGAGAAGTAACAATATCATGTTTAAGAAGCTTTAACAACTCACAAGAACCAGGAGTCCAGTTGCTAAGGAAGGCACTGAGCTCTGTGTTAAGTGCCAAGTGAGGGGTGCTGGTTGAAAAGGTGAAAGTTGTGCAGGTAAACTTTTTTTTTTATATATATATATATATTATGACCCTACTTCACTCATTGCAGCTAACGACTCTGCAGTTTAACTGTCATGCCACCTTAGGCAAGGAGAACTGAAAGATTTTCGACGCCGAATGGCGAGCGTGTCGCCTCACACCTTACACGTTGCTCCAACTAAATGTCGCCATACTATCGTCCTTTATTTTTTAGACATCCCTCTCACGTTTTTTTTCCGTCATCATAGAGTTCATTAATATATGTTAATATTTAAAGAAAGGTTTTGGCTACTTTAGTGGAGAATTAGTAAGGTTACCTCCCCCTCTCCTCCATTGCCTTCCCACAACCTCTCTTTCCCCTCCTGCCCCCTCTCCCTCCCTTCCCCTCCCTCTCCTCCCCCTAGAGACCAACTGCAGCAAGCCAAGGTGACGAAAAACCTTTAACCCAAACTCGCCTGCCTCACCCCCACACCTGTCTCGTCTCGTGTGTCACCATTCAGTATGTCGTCCATTACTCATAAAAAAAGATAGGTAGATCAGACTTTTGTAATATTTCATGAGGCTCTTGTAATGCCAACATATTATTATTATTACCAATGCAATGCTTTTTATCCCATAAGACTTTCTGCTTGTATTTGTATCATTGTAAGTACTGTACATAATGAGTAGCAACTGGAATAAAGAACCATGGGTGGAGGCAGCTACGATTTGAGGCAAAATCAGTTTTGTAAAGAATTGACCCAAATCCTTATTTACGCTATACTGCGTTAATAAAAAAATAAAGGGAATCTGTCTATAATTATCACAAGATTGATGCTCATATGTAAGCATTACATCATATGGTTCTTTCATGTTGCCAGCCCATTCTGTTTCTCATATTCAATAAACTGTTAATACAGTGTTGTGTGTCTTTACATCTTTATACATGCTTCTTTGAAATCAACAAATGGAAATGCAATTACTAGTATTATTTTTATTATTATTATTGGATGATGATGATGATGATTATTATTGATGACTATTGATGATGATGATTATTGATGATAATGATTATTGATGATTGATGAATTGATATGATGATTGATTATTGATGATGATGGTTATTGATGATGATGATGATAATTATTGATGATGATGATGATAATGATAATGAAAGAATTAAAGATGATGTGTACATGTATGCTTCCATGAGTGTTTGTGTGTGTGTGTGTCCACTACCATCTCTTTAGCCTCATCCTGTATCCACATAACATGCCTTGAAAATTGAAAAATTCAAAAAGGAACATTGTCCAAAAGCAGGTGACACAAAGAAAGGAAAAGGCTGCGTTTAAGCGTAGCAAATGAACAAATAAAATGGGACTCAATTAAACAAAGTGGTGGAGTAAGAGGTGGGAAAATGGTATGAAAAAGGGAAGAAGAATGGAAGGAAAGGAAAGGACGCAGAACAGAGAGGATAAAATGCCTTGATAGCGAGTTGTGGAGAGTGACTTGGGAAGGTGTAATAATCTTGCTAATTGGCTCGCTCTCTCTCTCTTCTCTCTATCCCTCCCCTCCTCTCTCTCTGCCCCCCCCCCCCTCCTCCCCCCCCCCTCTCTCTCTCTCTCTCTCTCTCTCTCTCTCTCTCTCTCTCTCTCTCTCTCTCTCTCCTCTCTCTCTCTCTCTCTCTCTCTCTCTCTCTCTTCTCTCTTCCTGACAACTTTGAATAATTACTGTTACTAATTAATTGGAAAAATTACTTTAAATTGCATCGTTGTGTGTGTATGTGTGTATCATGTATTATATTAATATATAATATAATTATATATATATATATAATACACATATATATATACTTATATTATTATATATCTATATGTATATAATATATATATATATATAATTAATATATAATATATATTATATATATAAAAAATATATAATTATATATTTTATATAATATTATATTATATATATATATATATTATATATATATATATATATATTATATAATATATATTATATATATAGTACATATTATATGTATATTATTATATAATATTATAATTATATTATATATATTATATATATTTATGATAATTAATTATATATAATATTATATATATTTATATATTAGATATATATATATAATTATAATTATTTTAATTTGTGTGTATTGTATATATATATATATATAAATATATAATATATATATTATATATATATATTATTATATATATATATATATATATATATAATATAATTATATAATTAATATATATGATATACAGTCATATAAAATATAATTATATTATATATATATAATACATATATAATATACTATATATATATTATTTAATTAATATATAACTATATATTAATAATTTATTATAGTACTCATATATTATGATTATATATGTAATATGTTATATAGAAGTATATTATTATTTAATAGAATATTAATTATAATATTATATAGTATTATAGTATTATAATATACATATATTCTATTAATAATTACCACCCCCCCCCCACTACGTGTGATTGTGTGTGTTGTTAATATATATAATTATAATATATATTAAATATATTTAATTGTTAATATATAATGTATATATGTATATATTATTAATATTATATAATTAATATATATATATATATAACCAGTATATATTATTATTATATATAATTATATATGTGATATTAATATTTTTATATAATCAATATACATATATTGATGCTATTAATTAAATACATATTAATACTAATAATTAATATATATACATATAATATATAACTTTATATATTATATATATATAATATTATTATATATAATATTACATATTATACATAATATTAATATATATTTAATAATATATATAATATATATATATATATATATGTATATATATTATATATATTATATAATATAAATTAATAACCCACACTATATATTAATATATTTATATATAATATATAATATGTATATATATATATATATATATATATATATTAATATACATAACTATATTAATATATTACCATTTACAATATATATATATTATATATACAATACATATATAACACTACGATTTTATCATGTGTTATACATATATAATTAATACATATATCTTATATATATATTGAATACATATTATATACATATATTAATATATATATATAGTATATATGTATATAATATATCATATTATAATATAATATATATTATATTAATACACACACCTACAACAATCACAACACATATATATTATAATTATATAATATTTATATATATAAGATATATAATGGTAATATTAATTTGACTTGATTATAATTATATATATTATATCACATATTATAATGTATTATATATATTGATAATTATATTATAACATATTATATACATATATAGTATATTCATAACTAAATACTTTATTAACTCAGCCCTATTAGTTATTATATATTACTATTATATATAGTAGCTCTCGAGTCTCTATTATTCTAGCTACTTGCATATTATATCATCAGTAATGCTACTATTCTTATCTATACTAACTCATCTTGCAGTTCCATCACGCCTTACAATATTAACATCATTATTTACATTAATAGCCTCCATACTAATTCATATACTATTATTATATATTATACCAAGACTACTCGTGATATTCTCATAATGCCTTTCA